GAGACCCCTCTGCAAGGGGATCTCCAGTGGCCTACTAATGGGCTTTGGATCTCCAATCCGCATTCCCCCCATCATTCACTATGGTAAGATTTTTTGTTCTGATGATGCCTTAACACCTGATCCCTTCGACACCTCGTGGTTGCATAGTCTGGTGTGCTTCTTCCATGTGGGCTTTGTTGCTTCTGGTGCTTTGAGTTCTTATGTGTACCAGTGCACATGCTCTGGTCTAGCTGAATTTGTAAGGTAGAATTGAGGACATGATAGTGGGCAGAAGGAAGCATTAAAGAACTAGATGAAAGTTGTATGTTTCATTGGTGCTATACTGCATCCTCACTGGCTTGTCGCTTCCTTGTGACCCTTCTGTAAGGTGATGTCCAGTTGCCTACAGATGGGCTCTGAGTCTCCACTCTATCCTCCCTCCCTATTCACATTGATAAATGATTTTTTGTTCTGGGTCTTTGATGCCTGATACCTGATCCCATTGACACCTCATGATCACACAGCCTGCTGTACTTCTTCCATGTGGGCTTTGTTGTTTCTCAACTAGATGGCCGCGTGTTTATCTTCAAGCCTTTAAGGCCCAGGTGCTATATCGTTTGATAGCCGGGCACCATCAGCTTTCTTCCCCACATTTGCTATGCACCCATTTTGTCTTCACTGATCATTGGGAAGCTGAGCATCACAGAATGCCAGGTTATTAGAGCAAACTGTTCTTGTGTTGAGGGAGTGCTTGAGTCGAGGCCCAATGTCAGTCTGTTGCCTTAATACTTAACATATGAGTATATGCACATAGATCTATTTCCCTATCATTACATATAAATATATTTATGTATGTACATGCCTGTATTTAGACCTGTATAAATGCCTTCTAGTTCTTTCCTCTATGTCCTTTTACTTTCTTCCTCTCTCACTATCATGTTCTGCCTTCATTCAGGTTTCATTAATTCCTCTCTGCTACATTGGCCTTGATTAAGTCCCACCAGTCATCCTATGCCCTCTTTGCCATTGATTTTAGATCAATGTTGTTCCCTTCTTCCTGGGTTTGTTAACACCTACTTCCTTTCCCCTGCCTCCCCCTCTGCTGTGTTCCCCCCAATCATGGGTCCTGTTCTTTTCTCCTCCAGATTGTTTATTACACCTGTCAGACATGCAGAGACAATAGTAAACACATAAACAAGGCAAAAGAAAACAAAAGACCAAAACAACAACAAAAAGGACCAAAAAAAAGCTTAGTACAGGAATGTACATATGTAAATATATTTTTATATAACGATAGGGAAATACATCTATGTGCATAGACTTAGTTATAGAAAATTTAGAAATGCCTTTTTACATAAAAATTAAAGAGTGCTCATAATTTTAATATATTGTATACTGTGCCAGTATATAGGTAACATTTTAATATATATCAAACAAAAAAATTGAATAGTAGTAATAAGTTTTGTATCCTGGTATTTAATATTTCTTAAGTATTTTTCTCTGTCATTAAGCATCTTTTGAGTGGTTTTTAAGTGACATCATGATGTAATTATTTTTTTCTACAATAGAATCTTAGTATTACTGGGTAAAATACCATGGACATTCTTAAGGGCCTTATTCATATTAGCAAAAGGCTTTCAGAAAGGATTTTACCAGTGTGTGCTCTCATCAATTATGTTGAGATTGTTTTAACATATTCACACGCATTTAGGATTTTTAAAATCTCTTAATTAGAAGTACAAAAATGGTATCATTATTTTAGTTTGCTACTATTTGATTCTTAGAAAGTTTGAACATATAGATAACCTATAAAAATTTAAATCCATAGATTCACATGGAAAAGGATAAAACGAGTACAGATGAGAATTTGGGAACAGAGAACTCAGAGAAAGAGAACTCAGAAGCTGAAACGATATCTAAGTAAGTATTTCAGGAAGTGGAATAACAAAAATAACTCTTAGGAATGAATGATTGCAATAGCTTGTAGCTTGTTTTCTACTTGATAATATCTGATTTTTATTTTCCATTGGTGTATCGTCCATTTTTAGTTTACATGGTATTGAATCATTTATACATTGTCTATTTGAAATTATAGAAAAAATTATATGGGTCCATTAAATCATCTATTACATTTCCCTCTCACCTGCTTAACAAGAATTTCAAAATATCTTGTTAGATAAACTAAGAGTTAAGATATATACTCCTGAATAATGTCTTTAAAGCAAGAGTTTTCAGAAGAAAATATTTAACTTGGAATGGAGATCTAGAATAGGCCTTACCCCACTATCAATCCGAATTGTGCTGTACCAGGGAACTGCCTTTGGAACCATAATTTTGATTATTTCTTGGGAGTTGTGTATCACACAGTTAGATTTTGAGTGAGGATTAGTATCTATGTTTACCAGGTGTGGGTTTTCCTAAGTTTATAGTGAATTATTTTTTGAGTGCTTTTTATAGTTAGGTATCTGGGACCAGGTAGCTTCTAACAACTTAGGTATAGTTGTGTAAGTACCTTTAGGTTATATTTTAAATGGATAAGTTCCTCATTTTTGGGAGAAACAATACTTTAAAATGAGTATTCATAAAAATACTTTATGAATTTAGAATAAATATTTCTATCCCTTTTTAATTGTTCTAGTTCAAGTGAAAACATTTGTGTGCAGGAAGATAATCAACCAAAGACATCCAGAGCTGCACGACTAACAAGGGGCCGATTGCAAAAGCCAAAGCCAAATGTAGGTAAAATTGCTGGAAAGAAAGAAATTCTCATATCCCAGGAAAAAGTTGGATCTGACGTAGAAAAGAAGGAAAAGGAATCCTGTATCACTAAAGGTGTAAGTATTTGATCCCTTCTGTTTTTGTTTTTGTTTTTTGGTTGTTGTTAAATAATTAATAGCTTCTAGATAAACCTCTCTCTGCTCCTTTTTAAAACAGAAACTGCATGATTTGTCTCTGTGCATCATTTATTAATTTAGTGGCCAAATTCTCGGTAGCAAAACAGCTTTGCTAAGCATGAAAGCACTTCTCTTACCCCTCTAAATTTTTGAGTGGTTACATAATGGGAATCTGCTTCCAACTTACTTTGTTAGAACTTGCTTTCCCCTATTCTTTAGCCGGGATTTGAAGTATTCCCCCTTTTAAAAATAGAGGAGCCTTGCTGGTGGTGGTGTTACGTGTTGGGCTGCTAACTGCAAGGTGGGCAGTTTGAAATCACCACTGCTCTGAAGGAGAAAGATGAGGCTTTCTATCCCCGTAAAGATTTCCAGTCTTTATGATGGATAATTTCCTCATAATGACTTGATGGCAGTCGGTTTGTTTTTTTTTTAATATACCTAGAAATGTGAATTTTTAACATTGACCGACACATATTAGAATGTTAAAAGCAAAATTACAATATAAATCTAAAGATGAAGAATATAAATTTCAGATTATTTATAATAACAACTAGTTTTCATGATTAGAGTAAGAGTTGGCATAATTTTGAGGTTCGAAATTCTTCTGTTGTAATTTCCACAGCCTCTAATTTAGTCCTGATATTCAGAAAGCTGCTTGTAAATTCAACAGCTAACACTGAAACAATTACTTGCTTTCTGGTTTGGAGATCAGAATGGGCCTTTTATTTATTTATTTTAAAAAATCATTTTATTGGGGGCACGTACAGTTTTTATCACAACTCATCCATCCATCCATTGTGTCAAGCACATATGTACGTTTGTTGCCATTATCATTCTCAAAACATTTGCCTTCTTCTTGAGCCCTTAATATTGGCTGCTTATTTTCCCCCTCCCTCCCCCCTCTATTCTTTCCTCTATTTCCCTCATGAACCCTTCATAATTCATAAATTTTTATTTTGTCATGTTATACTGTCTGACATCTCCCCCAACCCTCTTCTCTGCTGTCCATCCCCCAGGGAGGAGGCTATACGTAGATTCTTGTAATTGGTCCCCCCATTTCTCCCCCACATTCCCTCCACCCTCCAGGCATCGCCACTTTCACCACTGGTCCTGAAGGCGTCATCTGTCCTGGATTCCCTGTGTTTCCAGTTGCTATCTATACCACTGTACATCCTCTGGTCTAGCCAGTTTGTAAGGTAGAATTGGAATCATGATAGTGGAGGGTAGGAAGCCTTTAAGCACTAGAGGAAAGTTATGTGTTTCATCGTTGCTACCCTGCACCCTGACTGGCTCATCTCCTCTCCACAACCCTTCAGTAAGGGGGTGTCCAGTTGCCTACCGATAGGCTATGAGTCTCCACTCTGCACTCACCCACATTTACAATATGATTTTTTGTTCTTTTGATGCTTGATACCTGATCCCTTCAACAGCTCGTGGTCACAGAGGCTGGTGTGCTTCTTCCATTTGGGCTTTGTTGCTTCTGAGCTACATGGCCGCTTGATTACCTTCAAGCCTTTAAGACCCCGGACGCTATACTTTTTGATAGCCGGGCACCATCAGCTTTCTTCACCACATTTGCTTATGCAC